CTCGGTTCTAACAGCCCAAACGCCTCATGCATTGCGCGGTGAGCACCGTGTCACCCGCGGCGCCGCACGCCTCCCGGAGGTGGTGAGGTGATCTCGATCAAATCCACTCGAGCCGAAGAGCTGCCGCGAGGGCATCTGGTCGCCCCCATGACGAACGATTCCCGACGCTCTGTGACTCGAAGGGGACCGAAAATCGGGTCGGGGGAAGCTGCCGCGCCTCATTCCACCCCCTGGGGCTGCCCGTTTGCGTCGCCTCGCAATCGTCTGGATGTCACGTCTTTTCATGTGCCTCACCCACATGTTTGCGGACCTCAAAGCCACTGGGATCGTTGCACGTCGCTGCATATTCGAGGAGCGCGGGGCCCTCTAAGGTGGAGATTCCATCATCGGCCGCTGAAATGCTCGCACGAGAGACCGTCTCTTAGCTACGGATTACTGCAGCATTGCTTCATAGATGTGCTTGTTCAACGACGGCTCATTCGCAGCCGTAGCCGGTGGTGCGCGCAGAGTGCATCTTCCATCGAAACTTCATATATCCTTAAAAAAAGGTTGATGTTATTTTCGGCGCCAGCCGAGGATGGCGCGATGAGGTGCTACTGAGTGAGTAAGGGCGGGCCGAGCCTGGCGCGTCGGCCCGATGGCGGTCCGCGGTCTGCTGGCGCTGGCGCTGCTCGCCGCGGGCTGCGGCGCGGACCTGACGAAGATCACCGCCTGCACCTGGGAGCAGAAAGGAACCCAGGAGTGCGACACCGTGTGCCTCGATCTGGGCACGGGCTCCGGGCACCGGGAGGTCTGCCGCGAGAACTTGTACGAGAACGCGGACAATACCTGCGGCCTCACGATGTACTACAACTCGGGCAACGACGGCTGCAAGATCTGCGACGGCGACGACACCGACGGGACGATCTACACGCGGCACAAGATCGACATCTGCTCCACGATCACGAGTTGCTCCGCGGGCTACGAGCCGAGCAGCGACGGCCAGGACTGCGACCCGAGCCCGACGCCCGCGCCGACCACGAGCCCGACGCCCGCGCCGACGCTGGCGCCCGCGCCGTCGATCGCGCCGACGCCGTCGCGCGCCCGGCGTCCGCGCGCGCGCGCCGCCCCGGCGCCCCCCCCGAAACCGCCGCCGCGCGTCGCAGGCGCCCGACCGCGCGCTGCGGGACCGTCGCCTTCGCCGAGCGCGTCGTCGACG